GGTAGTTATGTATGTTTAGTGTTGTGATAGCTAGAAAACAGGCTTGCTTTGAAGCTGTTGAAGGAACAGATGCTTCTAGAAGTTTTTGGATCCACTGTTTCAGAAAGTCATTATGTGTCATGTGTGTTCCTGGTATACATACTGCTGTCTGTCCTTGATCAAAGCTATGTGTATAGAGCAGTGAACTGATCCTAGTATTGGGTAGGCAAACCACTATCAAAAGCTCTTAAAATAGAAGTTTTCGTTTGGAGGTTCCTCAAACTGCTGAACATGGAGCTTCCCTATGACCCAGCAATCCCACTCTTAGGTATCTACCCAAAAGACACAAAAATACTGACTGAAAAAGATACCTGCACCCCCATGTTTATTGATGCTTTATTTACAATTGGAAAAACATGGAAGCAGCCCAAATGCCCAAAAGTAGATGACTGGATTAAAGAGATGTGGTACATATATACAATGGAATACTACTCAGCAACCAAAAAAGAGAAACACATGTCTTTTGCAGCAACATGGATGGAGCTGGAAAAGATCATGCTTAGTGAGATAAGCCAGAAAGAGAAAGAAAAATACCAGATGGTTTCACTCATAGCAGGAGTATAATGGACCAGGTGAGAAAATAACAAGAATAATGAACAGCCATCTACCAGAGACATTTTGTGGGGGTGGAGTGGGAAATGGGATCAAAAACGGGGGTGGAGGGGTGGGGAGGGAAGTGCACGGGATTATGGTGATGGCACACGGGTGACCTGGTGATGGGAAACCCACAGGCATTACAACTGAGATGGAAAAAAAAATGTACAAAATGATGTAAAAATAAATTGTTATAAAAAAAAACCAAAAACGAAAAATATAAGTTTTTCATATTTACTTTTAACTGAGATATATTGCATATTACATTCTTTCTGCTATTGAATAGATTTCTTCTGTGAATTGTCTTTATGATGAGATTCTCTCCTAAAAAAGAAAAATATGCTTTAAATTATGAAAAATAAATAATATAAAGTGAGTTTTTATACTATACAGATGACTCTCTAAGGGGAAAATTCACCCCCAAAACTAAGAATCAATGAGAATAATGATGGTAGAAAATATGCTAACCCTTGTATTTCCTACCACTGCAATAGAGTTCAGAATTTAATGCAGAGACAATATTCCATTCATATATACAAAAGAGAACTAAAGACAACACCCCTAAATTTCCTGTATTTTATTACATAATTTAAAACAAAAGATTTTCCAAAAAGTAGTGATGTGAAAATGGACATAAATTTGAAAACATAAATTTTATAAGAGACTAACAAAGTCACATCCATAACAACATAAAACTAGAATAATCATACCATTTGACAGAAAAAATTATGCAGAAAACTATTAAAATGGCAGAGAAAACTACTTTCAGTATATTACTAACATAACTTGAATGTTAAAACATATCCTTGAAAAATAATATTTGCTGTAAATAAAAACTGGTATTACTATAAAAGGATTTTTTTATAAATTTATAGGAAAAAATAATCTTCATTTCAACCAGAAAGCTATTTGAACAAGAGACAAATAGTAAATGCCATCTTAGCACAATAAGAATCATCACCAATACAGCAAAAGTTAAAAGGATAGGGTTGTGACATTTATACAAAAACTAGAAAATATCACTAAAAGATCAAAATGCCAAAAAAAAAAAAAAGACATATTAGACTGCATTAAATTGAATGGAGTGCAAGTTGCAAAGGGTACAAACTTCCAGTTATTGGTACACCAATTGTCCTGGGGATGTTAATGTACAATGGTGGCTACAGTTAATACTATATTGTATGTCTGAAAGTTGGTGAGATGATAGACCTTAAAAATTCTCAGCAGAAGAAAGAAAATCTTTCAACTGGCTGTAGTAACAGATACTAACTAAACTTTAACTATGGTTATTTCACAATGTATACATATGAACCATTATGTTGCACATTTTAAACTATAGTCAATTATATTTCAATTTAAAAAAATAAGCTAGCAGCCCTCCCTGGTGGAGCAGGGGGTTAAAGCACAGCACTAAGAAGCTAAAGCAACTTCAAAATGAGTTCGATTCTTGCCCCAGAGGTGACCCACATGGCACTGCAGACCTCTCCTGACCCACCTGCTGCTCCCCTCAGCAGTGTACTTTGTCAGTCGGCCTGTTCTGCTCCCCACTCTGTCTCTGGTGAATCCTCTTGGGAACTGTTTTTTGAGAGCCTACATTACTTGACACAGATTTTACTTAAATTTTATCACAATGTAATAGTCATGGGCAAAATTTTAGTTTATGATGAAAACTGGAGGTAGGTATTTAAATAAATAGAAAAAATATAGAGGCACATTTATGAATGACATATTTTCAACACTTAATACTTCCAAATGAAAAAGCCTGTGCAAATCATGAAAATCAAACAAAAAACCAAAATTTATGATGCAGTATGTTAGCTATTTACTAGATGCTTCTTGGTGCAAGTTTTATGCTAATTGCTTTGTATCATCTCCTTACAATTCTGATGTAGATGTAATTATTAACACCAACTCCTAATCCCAAAGATAAATAGGGAAACTGAAGCTCAGAGCGGGTTACTCCAACTTTTACAAGAGTTAATAATTGAGCTGGGGCTAGGACATTGATTTTACTTCTCCAGATTTTATACTTCTGTAGTACTGAATGAACTCATGTTCTAAGGGAGCATATTTTATCTTTAGAGTCAGGGTAATTTTAATTGCAAACCAGAATTTTAACATGACTTAAGTGTATCTGCTATGCAAACTACAACATTACCACTACTGGCAAGAGGGGGAAAAAGTTAAGTTCTGATTTGTCCGGGTAGAAATGGAATATTTTTCCTAATGCACATGCAATTGATAATTGGGGGAAAACTTACATTATTGTTTTAAATATATACACATTTTAAATCTGAAGGAAAAGTTGTGTCCTTTTGGCAGTTAATTTCCTTTTATCATCTAGATTTCAACTTAGAATCTGAAAAATATTTGGAATGGCTGTACATGTGCACATGCATAATATACCCATATTAGTGGAAATTATTTTCAGCATGTGGATTCATTGGCAACTTACACCTTTTGTGCACATTTATTTCTTGCACTTTCTATAACAGATTATTTTTATACTCTGAAAAGCTAACAAATAGTTTTGAACATTAAAAAAAGTAAAAGAAATAAAATCTTAACAGAATGTTTTATGTGCTTGCAGTTTTGGGTCCACTTTTAAGTACTTTTCCAGTCTAAATTTTCTGTTAAAATTATCAGCTTATGAAAATAATCTTTCCTGTCAATCATTCCAGTCACCTAAAATTTTTATATCTGTAAGAAATTCCAGAATAACAGTATTAGTATAGCATTGGTCAACTATTTCACGATTGCCATGAGAGCTGTCAACTGCAGATAATTATAAAGTAAAAGAATGACAAGCTGATGTGTAAAGCTGGAGACTGGGGATATAGATGAGAAGTTGACATCAAACAAAATAGAAGGTAAAAACTTTTTCAATAAGAGAAAAGCTTGGACAGAATAGAGAAAAAAGTAGGGCAATTCCATCTTGGCATGTCAAAATTAGCACTGAGAAAGTAAAAAATAAAGGAACCATAGCAAAATTATTCCCGAAAGGTCAAAGTACAAAATGAACAGATTCCATCTCTAAAGTGAGCTGAATGACCCCGCATTTGTAAACCTGCTAGACTGAAGGGAGTGAAAAAAATCAATGCAAGTAATATTAGTTAAATGAAATTTATTACACAAAGAGATAACAATATGAAAAACAAAATCAACTCCAATAGGTACTGTAAGGGCAAAGGACATGCACATTTAATCAAAGAAACACAGCTATTCAAAAAACACAAATATTCAACCTCATTAATAATCAGGGAAGTGATTAGGATGCCATTTCTTGCTATTAGATGCACAAAGTTAACAGTAATTTCTACTTTTTCTAAAGGTACCCAAGTGTGCTATTTTTGGTAATAAAAAATTGAGTGATAAAAAAAATAGAAAGTATGAAAATTTCTGCCAATACAGAAATTATAAAAAGCATTCAAATGAATCAATGGGCAGTAAGGTTCAGATTCCTGGAAACCAATTCCTTTTTTTTCCTGAGTTTTACTACGGGATTGTCAGAAAAGAGGTTGTTCCTAATTTACCCTATGACAACATCCCAAATATAGGCTAGGTATACATATATTGATACGTAAGTTTATGTGTAATTTTCTTTCTGTAGGACAATTATTCCAGGAAAGTACCTCTTCGGAATCCTTCATTATGGAGGGCTCCTAGATTTTATTTGCTGACATGGTCCCAGATACTACCATGTGGTTTTCAACCTACTAGTATGGACGCCCTTGGTGTTAGGGGCTGATGATCTACTTTGGGACAGGCCTGCAAGAACAGTGACCTAAGCTTTCTGAAGCTGGCTTTTAGGAATCTGAAGTTGGTCCTATCCTTTAGACATGGTCAAAAGGACATTTTTCTGATTTGATGCAGAAGAGTGTAATCTCCAGCTTGCTTAGCTGACAGCCTTGAGGCAGATCACACAAAGCTCAGGATGCAGCTGGGCTGGAGCAGCACCAGAACCCCCACTCCAAACCTAAACAGTCGAGTCAGAATAACTAAGCTGGGAGACTAAACATTAAATCCTACAACTCTGTTCAGCATATTTCTTTCTTTGCTTTTTTGTGTTACTGAACAAAAAGGCAGAAAATAGCAGACTTTAAATTTAGTGAGCAATTCTCTGAAACCTGAATAACTTGTATAAAAGCCACTCTACAGAACATAATATACAGAGAAAAAGTAATAATTTGGCCAAATGACACATCTGGTTGTCAATTTACCATGTCGTCGTCCTTATCTATGTCAACTCAGTATAACTACATAGACATTTATTCTCTGGTACCGAATTCCCATTTAAATAGAAATAGCTGGTATACAGAATAGAATTTAAATTTAAAAACAATTTCACTATAGCTGAAATGCCAATACATTTTAAAATGATACATGTGTATAGATGTACCAGTGTATATGTGTATGCCTACAGGTGCATTTTCTATCTTCTTCCAGAGTGATGTAAAACTCTAACTTAGGGCTATACTTTTTTCCCATTAATATTTCTGCATCTATTATTTCTTCTGCCTGCCTAAGAAACTACATATTCTGAATGTACCCATACAACTGGATGAATTGGCAACTATGTAAAAAACTATGAAAAAAGGGAGAGAGCAAATACTTTAGGACCTTTTTGTTTATAACCTTAGGTAAAAGCAAGCAGCCTCCCTTTGAAGTTTTCCAAAGATAAAAACTTTCAACTTTGAAGCACAATGAACATAATTACAATGTACTACAATCACCTACAATTTAACTTACACAACACCACAAAAAGACATCTAACATTTTCTACTTATCTTTTTCTTACAAGTTAAAACATCTGACTATGTTGCAAACATTTCAGAATGCATCTGTTAACCATTTAATAAACAGACTATGACAACACAAACACCAACTACCTTTTTATCTAATAACTGTAGCAATCATTTAAGGTATGAATTAAAATACAAGATCATCCACAATGCACTATTACACCTCAGTCCTAAGAATGATCTGAAGGTGCAGAAAGAGGTGACTCTCTAGAAGGTGATCCAGGGTTTTCTTCTGGTGGAAAAACTGTGAGAGTACAAGCTCGAATGCCACCAAGTGACTCTGGAAGGTCAAAAACCTTATGCCACTCATCCTTTTCTGGGTCATATTTCTGGACAATTTCTACCATACAACGGTTATTCCAAGAATATCCACCTACGACATAGATTTTATTTTCAAAAACAGCAACTCCAACATCACTCTGACCTCTTAACATAGCAGCAATTGGTGTCCACTGGTCAAGGGTTGGTGAATAGTATTCACAGCTTAAAACATCATCATAATCACTTGTTCCTCTAAAATGATTGCCACCAATGACATAGAGCTTGTCTCCAACTGTGCACATACAGTGTAGACCTCTGACTGTTGTCATTGGAGCCTTCTGTGTCCATTTGTCTGTATCTGGATCAAAACACATGAGCTCATTTTGGAAAGTGTCATGAGTAATTCCTCCCGAAATATACATTAAGCCTCCATAGACTGTTCCAGCATGACCATAGTGGGGTTCACTCATTTTTGCAACATAGCTCCATTCATTCATTCTTGGATTATAACATTCTACTGTGGCCAGTTCACCAGCTGCACTTCGCCCACCAACTGCATACAAATGTCCTTTGAGGGCACTAAGGTGGAAGAATGTACGCTTTTCATTTAATGAGGCAACCTGCATCCATTTATTATACCGAGGATCAAACCTGAAAACTGTATCAACAGCAGTTTTTCCTTTTGTATCATAATTACTCTGGCCTCCAACAACGTAAAGAAAGTTTCCAATAACAGCAATGCCATGCTGGTAACGAGGAGCGTCCATGGGGGCTAAGGATCTCCACTCTTGTGCCCTTTCATCATACATCCGCAATTCTTTGCTGACAACCAGCTGCTGCCTCAGAACACCTCCTAATGTAACCAAGTGTGTTGAGTCAGATCTAATTGAAGTTCTATCTGACTGCATCACTGGCTGCATATAGGGCATCATTTGGTAATTGCTAGCTTCCAAAAGCAAATTCACACAAGTATTGTCTGTTCTCATGAAATCTACCGTCTGCACATAATTGATGAGGTCCTGCGGTGTCATCAGTGGAAATCTAATATTCTTCATTAATTTTGCAGCATAATCCATGCGAGGGTCTTCCAACCTTAGCCAACGACAGGCAGCCTTGAAGAGCTCAAGTTCAGAACAGTGCTTAAGACTATTACTGGAAAGCACAAAAGCCAGGCGTTCAAAAGGGAGTTTTAGAAATTCCCCCGTACTCAACAATGCAGGAAAATTCTTCAGGATGAAATTATTGACATATTTATCCACTTCAATAAGATTGTAGGTGTTAGCAATTCGTCCAACTTCCACGCAATTATCTAAAGAGACACCCGATATGAGAAATACTTTACAAAAGTCCAAAACAGGTAAAATCTGTAAAAAGCTGGCAGCTTCCAGAGTGTCCTGCAGATTGTCCATATTAAGAGAAAGTTTTGCAGTATAAATAAAATCAATGATTTTCTTCAAACCGACTTTGTTCACCCCATGAAGCTTAATGCACATTAAATCTTGTTCTTTCATCCCACCTGTGAACATGGCCTTGAAGTAATCACTAGCCGACGCCATCATTGCTCTGTGGACAGGGAAGATTTCGTCTCCATCCCCGGGTACCAGGGTCACATCACAAAGCAATCCTTCTATCCTAAGCTGGTCAAAGCCTTGCAAAACCACCGAGCTATGAGTGTTGCTGGTAAAAAAGCGTGTGGTTCCTGCCTTGCAAGGCTGCAAATGGGCAGAGACGCCCATTTCGCCGTTACCAAGAGACACTTTCATGTGAAAGCCTTCCTCTGGCACAAAGACGTGCGCTGGAGAAATCGGTCACAGCCTGAGCGCTCGGTCAAGAGGACTCTCGCTGGGCCGCAGCGCCGGTTCCGCGCTGCAGGGGCAAGCGGACAGGGCGGCCCCCGAGAACACCCTAGTCAGTCATCCACCGACAACTCTCCCAGAGCCGGACCACAATGGGCTGCGGGTTTCAATTCCGATAATTATGCGGATGATTCATCACCTGAAGGCAGTTAAGTGACCCAGTTCACCTCGTCTGGCCAGCGTTGCCGCTCCTCCGGCAGTTCCGCTTCGGGCCAAGGGGGAGGCGCCGCCACGTACCGCGGCTCCCCGGCTCCCTCGACCGCGAGGCCGGGCACCTCCGCCTGTGGCGCGCTGCGCCCTCCGTCGTCACCCGAGCGTCGGCACGGTCACAGACTGGTCTTGAGCCAAGGACCTGGAACACCGGCCGCAGCCTGTGCCTGGAACACCGGCCTAGCCGCGGACGCTGAGCCCCGTCCTTCCGGAAAGGCCTCGTCCCAGGATCCCCCGGGCTAGGAGCGGTCGGGGCAGCTACTGCGGCTGCGCGGCCGCCTGACCTCGTCAGTGGGCGGGCGTGGGGGGGACGGGGAGGAAGTTAGCCGGAGATGGGAGAGGCGGGGCTGGGGGCCGCGGCTGCCCGGGCTCCAGTGGTGGCAGCGATCGAGGACTAAATCGGTCTGAATGGCCGCGCTTTTATTATGCTGAGCCTGCAGTTTCAAGACAACTGAGCTCTCCTTACAATGGCCGACTGTTTTCCTTAAGATGTACGCTTCTGGCTTTAGCTTTTTTGAGTAACCGTGAAATGCCGCTTTTGTAGATAGAAAAAAGAAACGCTGCGCAAAGAGGGGAGGGGTGTGGGTGTAGGGGAAGGCTTAACCTTTTTTCCTTTAATCAAACACTAGATAATTTTTATCCTATACAATTCAGTAGTCATCTGATATATTAACTTTGATTCGTATTTTCACTTTTTTGATCATTCTTTGACGTACCTAAAAAGAGACATGTGTCTCTTAAACAGCAAATTGTGATCACACGATGTAAGTAATAAGCCCTGATTTTTTTTTTTCATTTTTTTGCATGCATTTCCATTCGCAGTCATGGTTTCATGTTGTTTTCCATTCATGGGATGTTAAATGACTACACGATTTTCCAGTGCCTATACCTACTCTTGTGTCCCACGCGCATTATTTGCTATTAAATATATACCTTCCTGTCTATCATTGTTCATATAATCCTTATTAAATTGGTAAAATCTGGACAAAGAATTTCCCTGTTTTGGATAAATACTAACAGTAGGATATGGACTCAAGATACAAAATTTTCCTTTCCCAATACAGTCACCAGAATTGTTTGTGCATTTCCCTCTCTACTGATTTTTTCTAGTATGAATATTTTATTAATGGATATTTTAAAAATTACTAGTAAACTTAAATTTGGGTTTGTAAATAAATATATATTTTGACACAATTTCTTGCCACAGTTCCCACAGTTTGAAGTTAATCTTTTTAGTGCAGTTTTATGCATGTACAAACTAATAACACATTTTTTATTATACTCTCTCTATAAACTAAAGAATAAAATAACTGTTCTCCACCAATCTTTTTTTACCTGGAGATCTCAGATATAGAGGACTTTTTAAAAAGTCTTTTAAAACAGTTGCTCAGATTCCCACTGAATAACTGTGTCATAAAGTATTAAAGCAGTGGCCTACGAATGCATATTTAGCTGGTCTCATTGTTTTCTGCTGTTTTTGTGGGGTGGCATCAAAGTCCAGAAGGCTCTGAATGCTTTCCTCCATGAGATGCTCCAGCAGATCTGCTCCAGTTTCTTCCACACAGAGACTTCTTGCACTGGCCTGGAGAAATTCTTCAGTGGACTTCATCAGCATTGGGAAGTCTTGGTTACCTGCTTGGTGCAAGAGTTGGGGATGGACAGATTCTCCTGAGCAATGAAGGTTTCTTCATGGTGATAAAGAAGAACTTTTAAGAAGGAAACTGTAATTGAAAAAAAAAAAAAAAAGATGAGAGTTGCTATCTAGGAAGCTGTCAAATTAAGAAATCATGAGGTCTGACTCTTCACTATCAAGGCTACAAGTTAGATTAAAATCACAGCTAAGACCTGTGCTCTCAATGAAACAATGGTTATGAACAGATACATTTCATCATATTCCCACATGGTTAAGTCATTACAACAGGCTTTTACTGTTCTTGTGAGAAAAGGTTAAATGTTTACATGTATTGATTGTATTAAGAAACTACATGGTAAGTCTTCTCAGTTCATGAGTTGCACCAGCCTATTTACAATTTTGTTGAGTTTGTATGATAGCATATACATTGTACTAATTACATGAAAGGATTCACCTATTTATTTTTAATTATGCTTTTTATTGTTTAGAGTCTTTACCAGTCTTCTTGCATTTGTTCATTCTTAATAAATATCAAGATAGGTTTTGCTACCTCCTTTGAAGGATGAAGGTGCAGTTCATTTCATACAAGCTCCCTGTAACATTTGAGTGTCTGAATCACAGAGGCTATGTTGGCCTTCTGGATCAAAAGATGAATAAAGAATACAAGGAGCCAGGACTCTCCCTGGTGGTGCAGCACTATGAAGCTATCACATCCACTGCAGCACAAGTTCCATCCCTGGCCAGGGAGGAGCTGACCCACGTAGTGTGGCAGACCTCTCCTGTCTCACCCGCTGCCCCCCTCAGCAGTGTATTTCAGTAGATCTGCTTGTTCTGCTTGCCACTCTGTCTTCTGTGAATCCTCTCACTCCCCCCCCACCAGCACCTCTGGCTTGTACCCCAGTTCTATATGCATAGATAAATAAAACTTAAAAAAAAAAAATGAAAAGGAAACAATGTGCCAGCCCTCTTGGAACTTTTCTTTTTACTAGGAGGAAACATAAAAGTATTACTCAATAACTTGAGCTACACTATATGTTGACACCTTAGGCCAAAGAAATGCTTTTATTTAAAAAAAAAAAAA